ATAGTTTCGCTTGTTTTATAATACTGTACTAAATAAATTGATGTATAAATTTTAATTATTTTAGCTTTCACTGTTTCATTATACGAATATCCGGCAACAATACCTACACTTTGGGATGCTGTTAAAGAATTTATTACAGTGCATCCAGAATACATTGAAGAAGATAATTTAATGGAATTTATATCAAAAGATAATGGCACAACATATAATTTGTATGTTTGTATTTTTTTTTTTATTTATTTAAAAATATTCTTTAAACATTCATGCTTAAATGAGTTTAATTTTTTGATGATAATTTTAGGTGTCATTTTTGGTCAAACTTTGAGATCGCTAATTTGAATTTGTGGAGAAGTGAAGCATATCTGAAATTTTTTGATTTTCTTGATAAGAAGGGTGGATTTTTTTATGAGCGGTTAGTTTAAAATATTGGAACTATTATTATTTTTATATAAATTTATATTAAAATTAATTATATTATAACTATGATTATATTTATAATAATATTTATATTTATATAACATTTTTTTATAATAGATGGGGAGATGCACCCGTTCACTCAATAGCAGCAGCACTTTTTTTAAAAAAACATCAAGTACATTTTTTTAATGAAATCGGATATAAACACGATCCTTTCATTCATTGTCCTACTGAAGAAAATTTGCGATTAAAATGTCACTGCGATCCTGGTCAAAATTTTGGCAAGTAATAATAAATTTGCTAGCTTTTAATGTAAATTTTTTCTGACAATAAAATTTTAATGATTTTTGTAGATTTAGAACCATATAGTTGCACTGGAAGGTGAGTATTTACATATTAATATCTATAATTTAGTCACTATTAACATTTTACATAATCTAATTTTAACAGATATTACGAACTGATATCAAAATGGCATTTACAAAAATCTCAGGAAAAGAATGAAATATTATAGAAAAATCGGATTAACTATTCTTGAATTTAATTTAAACACTCTTTTATAAATATATTTTGTTAATATAAATTATAACCTTTATAAAATTTATTATTATCTGTTATTATTTTCAAATCAATTAAATACGAAATTTATTGAAACGTACCCAAGAGTATATTGAATTACTATTAACAATTCAATGAAATTAA